GTCTCCACGTCGCCATGTAAGAAAATGTATAATAATCTGCAGAACATGGTGTGCAAAGAAGAAACTAATGGGTTAAAGATTGGCTGGGATTCGATTAGACAATCATTATTGCACTTAACTCAGCATAATTACGCTTATTCCAAGAGGAGCAGCGGTCATCGATGGATCGCGAACAGTAATAAAACACAGATTTGTGGTTCCAAAACAACTTACACAGGTATAAACTGATATATATATATATATATATATATATATATATATATATATATATATATATATATATATATATATATATATATATATATATATATATATATAATTATAAATTGGTAAATATATTGGTAGGAAAATGTGGCTTAACTTAGAGAAATTATCAAGCCTTGTCTAATAAATGCAGAAATAGCAAGGAACTTATCAAGCAAGTTGCTATTGCTATTATTTTCTATAAATATATAAATATATAAATATATATATATATATATATATATATATATATATATATATATATATATATATATATATATATATATATATATATATATATATATATTTATAGAAAATAATAGCAATAGCAACTTACTTGATAAGTTCCTGGCTATTTCTGCATTTATTAGACAAGGCTTGATAATTTCTCTAAGTTAAGCCACATTTTCCTACTAATATATTTACCAATTTACGGTGTTAAAAATTACTATAGCTTGCCATGTTGTGAAAAGCCCAGCATTACATATAAATTAGAGCATAGTTAATATAGTAGATGGTTTGGAAACTCAGTTAGAATAACAACATAACTCATTATCTATGTTAGTCAACGTTTATTCATAAACATGGTCGTTCACTGTCACGTGTGTATTGTGTTCTTGCCAAATCCACCAATAGCAATTTTCAATTTACCCTATTGTTCGAGTCACGGATAGGTAACTTTCCTAAGACATTGCTATTGGTTAGTTGGGCAAGAATACAATACACACGTGACGGTGAAGGACCAGATTTATGAATAAACGTTGACCATAACATACATAATGAGTTATATTGTTATTCTAATGAGTTTCCAAACCATCTATTCTATTAACTATGATTAGAGAACAGTAAGTTCTGCAGGTCACTGATCTCATGTAATATCAGTGGTGCTAGGCTATATGACTATGTTTACACTTGTACCGGATAGTTTCCGTACAGCGACGTCAAAAAACACCTTTCCGAAATAGTGTAAACGTTGCCTATATTATATATCCATTATATATACCTGTCACGTTTTATGGGGAGTTACTATTCTTAGACTTTTGTAATTTTGTAGTCTTTTGTATTTTAAACGGAGAGCGCTAACAAATTTTTCTACAGAATTAAATCTCACACAGATTATTAAAACTCCAACTAGAATCACGGCGACGTCCCAAACGCTTATTGATGTTATTCTAGTCTCATCCACAGCACTTGTTCTTGAGAGTGGTGTTATTAACACTTCTATCAGTGACCACCTACCAGTGTACGTCCTACTAAAGTTAAAGGCCCCAAAGATGCCAGCATGTTACATTACAACTAGGAGTTATAAAAACTATAATCCCTCACTATTTTCCTCTGACCTTGTCACTAAATCGCATCGTCTGTTATCCATATTATCCAACACCAACGTCAATACAATACTCGAAACCTTCAAAGATGTTCTTCACTCAACTCTCGACGTGCATGCACCGTTAAAAACCTTCAAAATTCGAAATCGATCATGTCCATATGTCACCAATGAAATAAAAGAACTCATGAAGTCTCGGGACCTACACCTCCGTCGGTTTCAACTGACACGTGATGAAGGTGATTGGGTAGTTTACAAAGAATATCGTAATAACGTAAAAACCAAAATTAAAGCCGCAGCGAAGGACCACACCTTCAACGAAGTAAGAGAACATAAACACAATTCGAGATCCCTGTGGAAAATAATTAATAATATAATTCCCTCGAAGGAAAAGGAAACACAAGTTTATAGTAAAGATCCAAAAACAGTTGCAGAAGATTTCAACCTTTTTTTACTTCTGTGGGACGGAACGCTGCTGCGACAGCCGAAAGTTTAGCCAAAGACAACAATGTTGCACTGTCAAATCCTCTGTCAAATGTAATCACTTATCCATCTGATCAACTGTTCAATTTCCAATCCGTTACTTGTACAGAGGTTCAACGCATTATCATGGCTATGCCAAGTAATAAGTCACCAGGACCAGATAAAATAGGCATGCGTGTCATCAAAGACTGTCTTCCAATCATACTGGGTCCTCTTACGCATATGATAAATTGCTCTCTAATGACAAGCACATTCCCTGACCTATGGAAGATTTCTGAAGTTATACCCCTACTAAAAGAAGGAGACCACGAGATAGCCTCAAACAATCGGCCTCTCTCACTACTCGAGGTAGTTTCAAATGTTTGTGAAAAAGTTGTTCTAAATCAATTTAACTCCTACCTCAAAGAATTTAATCGCATATCGTCACATCAAAGCGGGAATAGGAGTCTTCACTCCACCGAAACCTTAAACATATTTGTTACCGATACGATGTTGGAAGCCATAGACAACAAAAATCTAACGGCACTAATTACTCCGCCTGCGCATGCGCAGTGCGGAGTCTAAAAATGCCTGAGTCTGTTGTCGGTTGTCGTCAGTGTCACAAACAGGCTCCTTGATAAATGTGTACATTCCATGATATTTAGATACTTTCTATTGACATTTGTGGATAATGTTATACGATTTGGCAGCGCAATGCGCATGTTTACAGCTCTGCTTACAGTATTTTTCTAAACTCTGCGAACTGCGAAACGGTCTTGTGCGATGAAAAATACTAAACGATGAAAAATACTAAAAAGATGAATGTCAAGACAAAGCTTCCAGACTCAACTGAGGTAAGGGATACTAAACGTTCTAATTTTGGTAGTACATGCTGCATTTTGGCAACAAGAAATTCTTTAAAGTCATAAATATAAATAAAAATATTCACTCCTACTGTATGTCGTAATGTCGATCTTATATTCTTGACTAGCAAAATATATTCTTGTGTGAAAGGTCCCTACAATGTTCTGAAGAGTTTAGGCTATGTAGTGTTGAGGCTATGGCGGGTTATTAAATATATTTCAATGTTTTGAAGAGTTTAGGAAATGTAGTATTGAAGCTGTCGTGTTTATAATTTACTATACACGTTTTTACGCAACTACCGGAAACGGCAGCCATGTGGTAGTATTAAGACAAAGAATCTCATTATTTTTTACTGAATTTCGCACATTCTTTTAATTCTCAAGGGATTGGTTGCAAGACAAGAATATTATCTATGATATACAGGGTGTCCCAAAAAAACGAAAACTATTGAAATTACTTATTGTTAAATTTGAATGCCCTACCAAACAGCTGGACGTAATGATGCGTAAAATATTGGCAAGGTGCATATATTAGAATTTAGTTAGGAATATCTCCTGGTAAAGTGCGCGATTTTCTGCTCCTGGGAATTAAAAACAGCTTCTTAAACAGTTTCTTTATGCATAAAATTTACTTATGTCAATTATTTATGCACTCGTGGGAACCAACAGAGCGCTAAGGCATTCATATTGGTGATTTCAATAGTTTTCGGGGTTTTTTGGGACACCCTGTATACTCATGTTAACAAATAACAGAAACGTCAGCTTCTTGAACTCACAGCCAGCTTGGGTTTGCTTGCTTTGCTCTTTCTACTGCCCTTGTGTGTTATGCATGAGTCAATTCCTGGAGTAACCATCCCCCCCCGGGACACCCCCGGGAATTTGCCCGATAGACAGTTCACAGGGGTCGGGAATTTGCCTTTCATGTATTTGCACGGGGGCCGGGTATTGGAGGACCCCGGGGATTTGACAAATGGTTGACCAAAATCCCACCCACAAATTTTAAGTCCGCAAAACCTAGTTTCAGGCATGCATGTGGGCGCGCTGATCGTATTTTGCGCCCTCATGGTCAAGGTAGCGTGAAATTTATTGTAAGAATAAGCCGAAAATTATACCTTGTGCCATGCAAATTTAAATACAACTATTAAAGGTTTATGTTTTATAATATTCCATAGCGGTTTAATACTATAATGTTATTAAATGACTATGATTATATGCCATTTAAAGTTTAAACCACAAATTTTCCGAACTTCGTTGCGAAGTTCACAAGATTGTTGCGAAGTTCACAAGATTGTTGCGAAGTTCAAAAGTTCATAATGAGATTCACAAACCAGTTCGCAAACTACGCATTTGATTGGCTTCTTTTACTTCACGGACCAATCAGGGACTTTGTTTACAAATTGGCTTGTGAATTCCGATAAGAGCTTCCGAACTTCGCAACGAGCTTGCGAACTTCGCAACGAAGTTCGGAACATTTGTGGTCAAAGTTTCGTGAAATCGACTGTAAAATCATCCCCGGGGTGGGGCATTTTCCACTCTCAGCTTGCCCAGGGGCCGTGCATTAGTCTTCTAATTGTGTCCCGGCACCCGGGCATTTACACTATCATAACCAATCAAATCAAATGCTCGGGTGTGTTCCCGTGGGGGGGATGGTTACTCCTGGAATTGACTCATGCATTAATAGATTATATGTTGTGTAATGTATTCAATTCAACCCTACTAGGACTCTGGGCAGAATACCTACCAAGCCACTCAAACATGCTTTTCGGGCCTCTATTATTACAATGATGGGCCTCTATTATTACAATGATGGGCCTCTATTATTACAATGATGGGCCAAACAGAATTGGTGTGTCAGAATTAATATCCTATTTCTGTCTCTTATAGGTTATGGCACTTTCTTATGAAAATTCAAAGAAGTGTGTAAATGCCATTGCTCCTTTGAATGCCAAGTTAACTTTGAATGCCATGAATGCCAACTTAACCTTAATTGAATGCCATGAATGCCAACTTATCTTTGAATGCTATGAACACCAACTTGTCTGTGAATGCTTATATTTGGCTTCACTTTTCCGTCGCACCCTACATTGTCCCCATTTTCTCCGCAGGCCGGCAGGCGGAGTGAACGCCTGTGTAGGCGTCTTGTTTTATTAGATTTATCCAAGGCATTTGACAGTGTCAGTCATTCGATTTTATTACACAAATTGAGTTGTATCGGTGCTTCACCCGAAGCTGTTAAATGGTTCCAAGACTATTTAACAGGCAGATCCCAATACGTGCGCATTGGATCCACCAAGTCATCAGCTCGCCCGATAACCCATGGCGTTCCACAAGGTGCAATACTATCACCACTTCTGTATTGCATCTATATTAATGATCTGCCAGGGAGCATACAATCGTGTAACCTTGATTCATACGTAGACGACTCAAAGCTTTACAAATCATTCTGCATCTACGACTTGGAACAGACAACTATCAATTTAGAGGCAGATCTACAAATAGCAGCCAAGTGGTGTTTGGAGCACCAATTACTGATCAATCCAGAAAAAACTAAATTCCTTTTAGTCGGTTCAAGACCCATGCTGCAGAATGTACCTACAGAAATATCGCTAACATTTTTAGGAAAGACTATAAGACCTGTTTTATTAGCTAAAGATTTGGGTATCAATTTGGATTTGTACCTATCCTACGACGACCACATATCTAAACTCGTTTCGTCGTGTATGAGAAAACTATGTCAAATAAATCGCGTGAAGGATAGTTTCGATAATGAAACATTAAAATTGGTCATTGAGACACTTGTAATTAACAAGCTTATGTACTGCTCTACGGTGTGGTCCAACACGTCATCTAACAATATCAATAAACTTCAATCAGTGCAGAACTTCGCGTGCAGAGTTATATCAGGGGTAGGAAAGTTCGATCACATAACTCCGGCGTTGCGCGAACTAAATTGGTTGCCAGTGGAAAAGTTATTATTGGAAAGGGATACTGTAATGGCTTACAAGTGTTTTAATGGACTTGCACCTGACTACCTAGTAGATAAATTTATAAAGCGTTCCGACATACATGATCGATCGACAAGAAATCATGACCTCTTGGACATCCCTCTGTATAAATCTGCTGCAGGTCAAAGAACATTTAATTACCGGGGTGTTAAAATATGGAATGACTTGGATGATAAACTAAAAAATATTACATCAATAACAATTTTTAAGAAAAAACTTAGGGAGATTTTACTAAAAGAATCCTATTAAATACATTTAATATTTTATAATCTTTGTACATATTTTAACTAATTTTAAATAAGTATATGTAACATAGGTAGTTTTAGAAGTAATTTATAGTAATTTCAATATGTAATGTAGTGTTGAAAAGCCCTTAGGGGAACACGCAATAAAGTATCTATCTTCTATCTATTGAGCTATCGAGTCAACAAGGATTGGTAGCAAGTCTTATCCAATTTAAGTGCACGAAATATTTTCGTGACGACTTAACGCTTGTCTTGGAGGACGCGCAGTGTTTCAATTCTATTTCAGAACCATCCTCAGAGATAGGAAAACTAGTTTCATATTAATCTGACACTGCAATCGAGCAACGAAAAATTCGTTGGCTCGAGGGGGATTTGAACTCGCATCTTCGGGTATCTAGACCGCCGCTCTACCTATTGAGCTATCGAGTCAACAGGGATTGGTAGCGAGTCTTATCCAATTTAAGCGCACGAAATATTTTCGTTACGACTTAACGCTTGTCTTGGAGGACGCGCAGTGTTTCAATTCTATTTCAGAACCATCCTCAGAGATAGGAAAACTAGTTTCATATTAATCTGACACTGCAATCGAGCAACGAAAAATTCGTTGGCTCGAGGGGGATTTGAACTCGCATCTTCGGGTATCTAGACCGCCGCTCTACCTATTGAGCTATCGAGTCAACAGGGATTGGTAGCAGTGTCAGATTAATATGAAACTAGTTTTCCTATCTCTGAGGATGGTTCTGAAATAGAATTGTTTTTTTAAGCTTTTACATTTACTCATTTATCTAAAATCTGTCCAAAACATCTCGAAATGCAACGTGTCTCAAGGTAGAATCAGTCAAGCGGACACTTTACAATCCGCACCAGGGCGAAGGGAGAGAGGGCGTAGAAACGGCCATACATCGAGCGGACCCATCCGTGATGCGAGCTTCGCGGGGGGTAAGACGTTCTAATTGTAAACAAATATGGCTACGCGTATATGACCCATCAGAAGGTATGCTGAAACTATTGCTTTATAAAATATTACTTGTGTAAAATTTATGTTTTTGTTACTTTCAGCTACTATAAGAAACTTAAAGATAAGATTTAAGTAACAAAAAACTTTATTTCGGGTGTTATTTTATTTATATGCTCTGTTTAATTTGGTGGTTAAAAATGGCCGTCGAAATGTTGTCCGAGAGTGTTAACGCGCACTGCTTCCTGATAAAAAACCAATGATTTCCAAAACCTAAATTATAATTTGTTATTAAGTTTTGATGAAAACCTTTGCGTATACAAAATTATAGAGTGAGCAAACATGAGACAGATAGGTTTTGAACCTTTCAAAGTTCGATGTCGAATTGATGGTTGAAATAGGCTAAACTCCACGCTGAAATGTGCAACTTTATCGTGTATATTTTTGTCAATTTTGTTTGCTGGCTTTGTTAAATTCACTTGCAATAGCTCGACATAAGTTACAACATGCAAACTGAGCAGAGCCCATGAAAAAGCTATCCATACCCCTACAGTCATCCAGCTTCCTTGCTATTTAGAAGTGCATGGTTGCCCATTAGTCGAAGAAGAATTGCTATTGTATGCGCCTGTTTGCACTCCTTTCTTTTAAAAGGCTACAATATTAACGCTAAATAGCAGAGAAATATGACCCAATAATCCATGCAATTAAAAATATCTATCAAATTAACAATTTAACTTCAAAAATCATGATTTGAGGAATTATATCTATTCAGGCAACTCATAATTTAGTGACAGGTCTTGGCAAGGTGAAAGTTGAAAGGAACCCTTAAGATGGGTATACTACAAAACTATATTGACTGACGTTTTGGAAACATTTAACTAAGTTTTGAAGGATTGACTCACAAACTGTGATTCGGTTTCATGGGATTTTACACTTTTCTGGAGAAGTTGTGGCTCTGTTAGTGCCATTTCTTTCATATTTTTCTGCTATTTAGCCTCAATATTGTAGCCTTTTTCAGGAAAGGAGTGCAAACAAGCGCATACAATAGCAATTCTTCGACTATTAATGGTAACCATGCACTTCTAAATAGCAAGGAAGCTGAATGACTGTAGGGGTATGCATAGCTTTTTCATGGGCTCTGCTCAGTTTGTATGTTGTAACTTATGTCGAACCATTGCAAGTAAATTTAACAAAGGCCAGTAAACAAAATTGACAAAAATATACACGATAAAGTTGCACATCTCAGCTTGGAGTTTGGTAGGCCTACTATTTCAACTGTCAATTCGACATCAACCTTTGAAAGGTTCAAAACCTATCTGTCTCATATTTGATCACTCTATAATTTTGTCTATGCAAAGGTTTTCATCATAACTCAATAAAAAATTATAATTTAGGTTTTGGAAATCATTGGGTTTTTATCAGGAAGCAGTGCGCGCTAACACTCTCTTACAACATTTCGACGGCCATTTTTAAACACCAAATTAAACAGAGTATAGAAATAAAATAACACTCGAAATAAAGTTTTTCGTTACTTAAATCTTTAAGTTTCTTATAATAGCTAAAAGTAACAAAAACATATAAATTTTACACAACTAATATTTTATAAAGCAATAGTTTCAGCATACCTTGTGATGGGTCATATACGCGTAGCCATATTTGTTTACAATTAGAACGTCTTACCCCCCGCGAAGCCCGCATCACGGATGGGGACGCTCGATGTATTGGCGTTTCCACGCCCTCTCTCCCTTCGCCCTGGTTACAACGTGCGGAACGGGTGCAAATTCAAAGGTGGAGCCACTGAGCTATAATATTACTGGAGGAGCGGCTCCTATCTTTCTTCAGTCAAGCAAGCCGAACCCAAAAACATGGCTGATCTTACGCCATTGCCATGACTACTGGTTCTTATTTCTCATGGTAATTACCACTGACCCACCGCGATCCTACGCTTTAAACAATATCTTTCACCCCCCTGCCCTGGTTTTTTCACAAATATGAAATATTTTGGTTTTATAGTTTGTCTTTGAACTGAAAATCTTGATATTTTTCATCAATTTTGCCTGTTTTACAAAGTCAAGGAAGACGGTGCATTTTTGCTGTGCCTGTTATGGCTCTAAAAGGAGAATATTATCGGTAAGATTCACGATTTTTTTACTTTCTCGCTTGGCAACGTTGCCATATATTTTATAAACACTCGTGGATATATGTCAAAACCTGATGCTATATTAAAACTGCGAGTATTACTAGTTACAGCAGTTTTTTCACTTCTACATTGACATTGTAGTTTTAAGCAAGTTTTCCTGGACAAACTCCTTCCTGTTTTGTTTTTAAAATTGTTTATTGATTTAGGTTTTTAACTTTTTAAGTGCTAGTTTTGCCAGGTTTTTGAAATAGCAGCTATCTACTGTGTAGCTTTGTATTTTATACAGGGCATGTAGGGTGTGAGTGCACAGCCAACCTTTCCAGCACTCTCCAAAAGTTCAGCATCAAGCAGTTTATATTATTTAACCCATCGAGGGCCAGAACGTTTAACTATAGACACATGAGCAGATAGCCTGATTAATCCATTGAGGGCCAGCACTCTCCCCTTGATGAGTAAAATAACTTGGCATTTGACAGAGTGAAATAATAAAGTAGGGTGCATCAGGACACAATGCGACTTACTGGGTTAAACATGATTTTTATGATTTGTAGCACTACCCACATTGTATTATTAACCCTTTAAGTGACAATGTGCCCAGATGCACTCTACATTATTTATTATTTTACTCTGGCTAACGCTGGACAATTTTATTCGTCACGGGGAAGGTGCTGCCACTCAACATATTTAGGTTAATATCGATCTTCGATTTAGCTGGAATGACCCAATACATACCATTTGCTACTGTAAAATTATAAATATGCCGGATTTTATGTGTTAAATGTTCAAATAGCAAGAGTGGTGTTGTAGACATCAGACATGTAGTGGTGCGCCATATGTTAACATTAAATATCGTCCAACTTACAAAAGTAAGGGCCCTGGCCAGAATTCCTGCCCTGAACTGGAAGATAACTTCATTTTATCATTGCTATCAGACTGTGATAAACAGAGAATCATGTTATTGTCAGTGGTGTTTTTAAATACAATATGACTGCTTACAGTTGTAATTATAACTTGTATGGTTGTATATATAGTTTGTAAAACTTTTTCTTGCTGATTTATAAGTATTCTTTTAAGAAGGTATAAACAAAATAGTGAAAACCCCTGGGGGTAATGTAGGGTAAAGGTGGGAGGGTATCTATTTATCTGTGAATTAATGATAATTTATTTCAAGCACACAGGGCTGGATTGACTGGGGGATCTAACATCCCCGGGTCCAATCTTTTGAAATGTGTCCCCCAATTTTTGGAGGGCCACTGGTTTGTCAGTTTTTGCTGTTATGTGTCTACCCTCCATAAATAAAGAAGTTGATATAAATAATTAATAAAATGACCAAATGCTGGAATTGCCAAACATGTGAATTTTTTGGGAATGTTGTGCAAAATTGTGGCCAATTCTATAAAGGTTATGCTGAAAAAAATTTTAATTAACCTTTTTTGCAAACAACAGTTTGGGAAAAGAAACAATTACCCCCTCGCCAAAATTTTGTGAATAATTTTGGGGACCCAAAAGGGCGAAGGGGCCCAAAGTTCTGTATTCACCCTCCCAAAGATGTATCGGTTGGCACGGCCCTGCAAGCACAATACAATTGTGTTTTGTGTGAGCCAGAAAATAAATAAATCTCACCAAAACATGTCTTTTTGTGTGATAAATGATGTCTTAATAAAGAATGTTTAATAGAGAGGGGGCTCAACAATTTTTTCATCTATATTGTGGGGGGGTGGGGGGGTATTAGAGTGGGGGGGGGTGAAGTTTAACAGGGAGATTACAGTAGCAAACTCAAACCTTTATTGCAGGTTTTGATGTATGATGCAACTATCTGGATTTAGATAAGTCTTTGTTCAAAATGTACACATTGATTCTCATTTTTTCAAATGGTTATGTACATTGTACACTCAAGCCTGCAAATTTTATATGGGAGCATCTGCTATGGGAGTATCTCAGTTGCTGAGACAAGAACCAACATGTTTAATTCAAGTTTGGACCAGAGTTCAGTTGACCAGTAAATGAACAAAAATTTCAGCCAGAGCTGCAAGTGATTTTATTAGACAATTTATAACCATATTTATAGCCATTCCTATATAATACAATTTATATATAGTACAATTTATAATCTGCCTGGCATATATTTTCCAGGTTTTAACCTAAACTGAGATCCAGTGGTGAGTGGACCCCTACAAACTATCTTATTTACTATCAACTGCACACTGGCACACAATAATCAAGAATGGAAATTATCAAGCCAACACACCATTGCCCAGAAACCTAGGTAAAAATTGTGTTACCAGGTCAAGTGCCCACAGCACCATGTCGGCTTCTCCTGGCACCCTTTCAGCACCCTCATGCCACTTTCAACTTATCGCCAAAATCAACTCACAAGTTCACTGTGAATGATTCCATGCTTCCATGTAAAGTGGGGGAGAATGACGATTGGTTGAAAACACTGGCAAAAGTTATGTTGCTCTTGCAATGAATGGAAAAGAGGCCTTAGCTTTATATGACATGTTAAGTTGGTACATAAGTTTCTTGACAAAACACTGATTTATTTGACACCCTAGATCCCTCTTTTAAAGATAGTAGCACATAGTAGTTTCATGCATGTCTTCACACCTGTAAATAAAAGTTTATACTCAGCAAATCTGCCAGATAAATAAAAGTTTATACTCAGTTTATACTCTTCCTTTGATACAAATAAAAGTTTATACTCAGCAAATCTGAATAGTATGAAATTCAAGCATGTTAATTAAATTTGAACCCTTTCCGTTTGTCGGTTGTGGTAGGAAATGTGGTGAAATATCTCTACATTTGTACGACAACACTTAAATAATCTTGGCTAAAATATTCACTATATTGTACAAAGCTTCTCATGCTAAAAAATAAATGCATATTATATTGTTTTTCAATAGTATTTTTACCTGGCTGGCTGTACTGTAATAGCTGCGTCTCTCGCTTCAAATATCGTTTTTGCCAATATTTTGCAAGACGTTTGTTGTCTTTCCCGGACGTTTACGACTTGTACTTCTTTGAATAGATGGTCGAAGGTCGAAAAATATGTAAAAATATCAAAAACAACGAGAATTCACTGCAAAAACTCGAAAAACCTATGAATATTTTTGAAAAAACCAAGGGGGGGGGGGGTGAAAACTGTAGTGGGCTCAGAAATGAGCCTGTTCAGTGGTATTTTCATGGCCAAAAGGAACCAGTTGCCATGGAAATGGCGTGAAAATACGCCATGTTTTTGGCTTCACTTTTTTATCCCGAGCACGTCCTCCAGTAATATAGTATAGTTCAGTGGCACTGATGCAAATTGCAAAATCAAATCTACTGTGACGTAACCAGGCATTCGATTCAAGACATGGCGGCAAGGATATTTGATCAATTTGGATATGCAAACGCTATATGCAAATGGCAAATAATGCGAAGAGAAATCCCTCGAAAGAAATCCCTCGGAGAACATATAATTTACAGTCGAACCAATTACTACCAAGTGGAAGAATGGAAGGGATCTTATATGCCCCACGAATCACGATGTGAAACTCGATCGAACTGAGGGCTTTAATTAAGTAAGTTAAATTTCTCTATATTTTTACAAATGGTAGTAAATTACTAAATTGTTCAGTTCAAGAAGCGTCTAAAGTGGAAAATGGGGTCCTGCACAATTAATATAGATTTGTATGTAATAACAAAATAATTACAGTTTGTGTCTATTACTGTTGTTGCTCTATATTCCAGAAAGACCAGAAAGATGTTAGTGGTTGGGGGGCGGGGGTAGGGGGGGGGTAGAGTTTGACATTTTACAGAGGTTTGCTTGTCTGGAGCCAAACTAGCCCCAATACAAACTTGACAGCTTGCTTTACTGAGGCAAATTTCATCTCTGTTTACATGGGATTATATCCTGTGCTCAGACCTTCATTTTTCTCACAGCTGGCGGGCAAATAAAAATGAAGACCTGATACACATGTTATTATGTTTGTGTCCTACAACTGCCTTTATTGTTTTAACTCTGATTGGCTATTTCTGGCATGAGTATTCATGCCATATTTAATGTATTGTTTTGATAATTGGTTAATGCTATAATTAAATAATGATATATTTAGTGATTGTAACTATATTTAGCTTTATGTTTGCGATGTTACTCTGAGTGCATATCCACACCAGGCGAGCTTGAAAAATATGCCCGGGCACGGTGGCCGGGCATATTTTTCAAGCTCGCCTGGTGTGGATATGCACTCAGAGTAACATCGCGAACATATTATTCACCTGAGTACACAACACCAACACAGAAAAATTTATATTTAGCTTGTTGTTATTATGTGAAATTGACATTTTTTCTGGCACATTTTGATTGGATACCAAAAATAAAACTATAGTGTGGCTGGAAAGTAACTCTGAATGGATAAAGACTTGCATCAGTCTCTGTATGTAATTACAGAGCATAATTGCAGGTTAATGAGATTTCTAA